CTATTCTATTCTCGCAGAAAAATACTGATGCGCTTCTAGAAAGTGAAACTCGTTTAGGAGCGAAAATCTATAGTCAATGGCCACAGCCAAAGACATATTTTCAGTGGAATATTTTTCATTTCGCTCTAAATGTCAGCGCGCTAAAATTATTCGTCATACATTTTTTTCGAAATTAATGTATTCGATGTAAATGTTCTCCTATATTTTTGCACCCTAAAGAATACGCTATTCTCAAATTCTCTATTTTTCGACGTTCCCCGTGTATGTAATTTCTTTACAAATGAGAATTGGATGGATGGAGAACAATGAAATATTTCTAGTGTAACATTCATCAAAAACGGCTTTCTTGATGTCCGGACTCCTATCTCAAAATTTTTTTGAAAATTTTTATCCAATTGCTATACAGGGTGATATTTTTTACTTCAAACTCTCTCCCTGATTTCTATGTTTCGTTTCAACCGCTTTTTAAGGTCTAGTATATGGTTTACATTAGAAAAAAACTCCTTCCACCCTGTAGAATTTGCGATGGTGCATGATTTATTCGCCTCTCATGGAACTTTAGATAACGTAAGAACAGGATTTTCTAATAATCATTGTTTATACAGATTTGTGGGGAAACCTCTGTAGAAATGCATAACTCTAGAAAAAAATTATAATTTTCCATCCATGCAACTGGGAATTGGTGTTTGATTTGCAAAATATGACTTTTTGGGCTTTTTTAAACATAGAAATGACAAGATATGTTTGACCACACTGTATAAGTTTTAGTAGTATCCTCAAAATCCCAAATCAAAGTATTAATGTCAATCTAACAAAAAGATCCTGCCAGTGAAAATAAAAGTATCAAATCCGGCTCGAAGGACCAATGTGAACTCTATTTCTCTTCTTTTCACTTACTGAAATAAATATCTTTCTTTTCCTAAATTTCTTCATATATTTTATTGACATTTGCAATCATTCATTCATTGATTATCTGACACTGTCACTATTTTTCTTTTTCAACAACATACAAGCTGTATTTAGAAATAATTATCTTCCTTACCAAAATACCATTCAACTTTTAACAAGTTTCGCGCGTTTTTAGCCATAGAACATTAACATACTGTTACCAACATTCACCAAATCCATTTATTACCATGTCCTCAGATTCTTCTCTGACGACATCGATACTGAGAAAGCTTCTAGAGTTTATCGTTCTAAATATCGTTGATCAATGTATCGTTAAGGTAACGATATCGTATTCTAACGATGAGTTACTGAATAGACCCCCTATAGATTCTAGTGATTTTTCTGAGAATCCCGCATCAGAAATTCAGAACAGTGAATTCAGGTTAATTACTGCAGAGATGGCTATGACTAGGGCGTTCATAAAAAGACGAAACCTATCTTGGTATAGTAAAAACACACTCGAAAAGGAGTAAATATTGGTAGGTTTAACAGCTAGTGCTATAGTAACTTTGGCATGATCGTAAAAAAATACCTATTTCTATATAGCTCCCTAACGAGTTTTTTTTTGACCAAATTATCATTTTCACATGTCATCAGAGCTTGAGATGGCTTGAGTAATCGAAAATTGTCTTAAAAGTCGTGTTGAAACCGAATTGAGGACGAAACATATTCGAGGTGAAATGTAAATGTAATAAGATAATTGAATCTAAAATGAGCATCTCAAAATTAATAGATTACTCGGCTACTTACCTATTGCATTTTGCTCAATTTGCTCCGAGTCCAGTCGTGCCTATAATTCGCTCAATTTTTCAGCCTGATTCCCGAATAATAATTGACATGATACCAATCAATCTTATTCGTCCCTCATAACATAACGATAGTATTCATTAGTAGCTTGTTGCAGTGGCGTACTGGTACTGGTGGGGGACGTTTGCACGTCAGCAACTAGTCCCTAATGGGACCTTTTTGCAAACCCCAAGTGTTTTCAATGACTGATGTGGTTCGCTCAAGAGAGCTGGCTAACATCCTTTTCAGGCACCGCCCATCAGCTCCCTTTCAGAGTTTTTCGTGTATGTTTTGTAGGGTAGGCTAGTAATGTTCTCACTACCATATGCGCAGTGGCAGGCCTGCTAGCTATCCTCGTTAACCCCCGAGACCGAGGTCTACTAAGCAGCTGGCCCGATCTCACGCTCAGCTGGTAGTTTTCCACACCCACCTACATACACTGTCCTATTTCTTCTCTGATGCTCACAACCACATCATCATCTCTTTCTGCATGTTATGTGTAGGCTTTGTTACTAACTCCATGCGCCACTTTAGGAGCAGCACTGTTAATTGGAACGCAACAGCAAATCGTGCAGGACTATCCCCAGCCGATGCTCCGAAACTTTACAATATTCAATTCGTAAATAAAATATTGAAAAAAGTTCAATGGTCGTGCTGGGAATCGAACCCACGACCTTGACGGACGCTCTGCCACTGCGCCAATCGCGGAAATTTAACTGGTGGGCTCATCACTCTTCAATTGTTTCGTCAGACTAACTCTCGATATGGAACAATTGCAAGCGAGTTTTGGACGTGGGGTTCAGGTATTTGACGATAGAGGCGCCATAATCGGAAAATCGTTCAAAACTTTGGTTCTGTGAGGGATGAATCTATTTCCATCATTGTTCTGACATATGGACGTTTCGATCCTTAGATCAGAAATCAGTTCACTGCTCTGATCCAAATCATATACGTGTCCAAATATTTATCGGTCGGTAATATATGTTTCCTGTAAATATGGATTGTAACCAGGATGAGCTTAGCGAGATTTACTCACGTCAAGTATGTTTATCAAAGGTTTATCAGAGTAGGCGCCATCGAGAAACTTGCAAACGACCTTCAATAGGGAGTAAGCGAACCAGTTAAATTTCCATACATCTCTGTTAGTCTCATGATGGTTGATGGCAATTGTTTTCATATCAACTTGCATGTAGGCAGGGGTCCTTCGGACTCAGGCTCTATCGCCTCTATCGCCAAAATTTGAAAATAAACTCTTGTAGTTTTTAGATACCAGGCTTTCTCGCAAAATTATCGGTTATTTTTATGCACTAGTGCATTAATTACAGACGAGAAGTGAAGTGCCTTGAAAGTGTTGCTGTGGCATTTGTTGAGATAAAATGTCAATATCCACTTTTAAGTCCTACAAATGAGGGATTAACAGTAGATACCCTTTTATTTCCTGAAGTTCACATGGAATCATATAATAATGTGGATTCTGAAAAACATGAAACTTATTGCGCTTAGTAGGAATTCATTGTTATATCGGTATGTCGAAACAGAACATTATAACGAAACTAAAACTACCTACCGCATTAAATAATAACAACTATATAAAAAGACCATTAAAAACAAATTAATTTACGAATCCAGTGGGTACTTATGTTATGGTTCTGCATCTTCACACACCTTCGAATCGAGATTGATCTTAATCTTTAATTGCGAATACCTCGGATTAATTATTCGGCAAGACTAATATATCAGAATGGAATTTTGTAATGTGAACATTTTCAACAGCATCTTCAGTTGCAACATATCCTTTCCAAAATATTCACAGACGGTGAATGGGCTAGCGGTTGCAACACGCGGTCTATGCAAGATTTTTTATTGTACTCTTGACATAAGAGATATAAAAAATGGGATAAGAATTATTACGAATAGATGAACCTCAAATTATGCGTTCTAATGAAAAAAATAGTTTATATAATTCATTAATGATCTGTGTAGAAGACAGCTTGGGAATAATAAAAACGATGGATTTCGTCAAATTTGAAAAATGCGGTGAAAGCCATCTCAAAAGTCCTATAAAATTGTCGGTACACAATTATGTATAGCAGCGTATTGCCTATGAAAACCCCAAGATATATGTTATTATTTTTTTTGTGACGGGAAAAACGTTTGAGATTTCATCTCTGCTGACAGCTTATAAAACGTCACTTTTCATAAATTACTTGATGCCTACAACGCAGGTGTGATTCCTGTTAAATACTTCAAATTACACTTCCATAATTTTCTGATTTCTTGTATAATTAATAACTATTTAATATAAGCTACGAAATTTCCCATTCCTGGTGTGCAATCTTACCTGATGTATCAACCGAAAATGTGTCGACAGATTTTAATCGGTAAAATTTGAAAGTTCATATAATTTTTTTATTTTTGACGTTAGAAATAGTATATTTGCTGTTTTCCATCATCACCCTATAAGACAAATTCTCAGTCTCCAAATTCTACTTATTATAAGTGTACCCAATGGATGTCTTGAATCAACTTACGAACTTAGGTACATTAGAAACTTGGATTCATATCAAGTCTTAATTTTCTTTATTGAAAACTGAACAAGATTGGAGAATAACTCATGGAACAAGAAAGTTGTAGTCCTATTGTTAAATCGAATGAAAATATGGAACATGGAAAAAAACAATAGAGTACAATGATTTTTACCATAAATATCAATCAACTCTACTCGTTTGTTACACCAAAAAATACATTTCCATATAGCAAAGAAACATGATGCTAAAATGTTAACGAAAATCAGCTCAGTAGTCTTCGAGTTCTGAATAATAAACTGTTTTTTTAAACTTCAACACACAAGCTGGCAAACATACAGGTTCACATCATTAATTTTTCAGACTCTCCTTTTTATTTTTACGAATTCCATCGCGTATTCTAAATTTTCCTGATTACAATCTGAAACATCCTGTATAGTGCATAAGAAACGACTAGTGTTGTAACAAATTTAACTTTTATAACTTCTGAATCATTCAAATCATGCTAACCACCAAATTGAGTATATATTCTTCATTTTGTTTTAGTGGTGGATATAATATACCAACAAAACAAACCAGTTTTTTCGAAAATATTGCGCAACTATGTATATTTTCTATAAGTTTATGAATATGTGCAGGGTGATTCAGTCCATCAGAGCCATCCTTTTAAGGAATATCATTTGAATATTAATGTAAGAAACTCATGGAAGCTTGTACAAGGTGTTATTTTTTATTCCACAGAATGAAAATTCCTCACACTTTCGTCACACTTCTGGCGACATGCCTGCTAGCAGGAGACATATTAGGAGAACAAAAAGTTTCAATAAAACGAGAACAAAAAAGAAGTAAGTGCTCACTCACATGCCACCCTATATGAAACAGTAATAACCAAAATTTATTTTTAGTATACAGTGTGTCCATTTAGTGCGTAATTCTTCGATATCTCGAAATCCATTATCATTAGAGAAACAATTTTGGAAACAAATTTCTTCCGTTATTGAAGGTTCCATTTCAAAAATATTTTCAACAATACTGGGTGTTTTATAAAGCGGGAGGACTCGGAGACGAGTTTTTTCAAATAGAACACCCAGTATTTTTATTCAAAATTCATTCCGCTACGGTTTAGCTCTACATCGCTGTGAAAAAATTGGATTCGGTTGAGGCGTTGCCAAGTTATAATTGATAATCTCATTTTTACTACTATTGAAGGGTCATGTTGAATTGGATATGGTATACTCATTTATTAAAATTTTGAGAAGATTTTTGGCATACAGTAGTAGCAAGGTCTCACGTACACCAATCCAGTAATTTTGCGAGATTATCCTTCACATCAGGGTGCTTAAATTTACACTCTGAATATTGTAAGCTTCAGACGACGTTCACTAGAATTTTTCAAATGGAACACCCTGTATTTCTCATCACAGATTTATTTCGACATCATTCGCCTTTTCATCGCTGAGAAAAAAATTGAAATCGGTTGCGGGGTTTTCAAGTTATGAGTAATTTCCTTATGTTCATCACTATCTCAGGACAACTTATGAGACATGAGACATGGTTCCTTTATTTGATTTGATTGTGGGAATATTGCTTGCCACATGACATTCGAGGTTCTACATAGATCATTCAGGTATCTTTGCGATATAAGCATTGTCAGAATTTGAAATATTCCGTAATCTTGTTACTTATGATTTGAAGAATATATGTACCTATGTGAAACAAACATATGCCAAAAGCAAAACGCCTGCCTTTAAAACAACTTCTACAATACAAACAATAGATATTTGAATTGCGAGAATAAGGACAATTTTTTGAAATTTGGACCACTTTTATTGTCGTTATCCCCACAAACCAAATCTCCATCAAACTTGAAGGAGGCAAACTCTACACAATATTTCTTTACTACGCGGGTTTCGGGAGGGAATTCAGCAAAATTTTAAATAAATTCAAGATATATTTGATTGTGACGATGTTTGACAGGTCATTACACGAATAATGGAAGTGTACTTCGAAAAAGTGATTCGTTGTCTGCAAAAAATCTGTGAAAGTAGCATTTTGGATCAATTGGTCAAATCCACTCTGTTTTAAATTCAAACTTGGAGAGCGTGCAAATGTTCCTATTGTTAAAAAATATATGAATGGTCAATTAAGAAATTTGAATATTTGAATGAAAGAACTATGTCGTAAAAATTATACTCCGAAATAGTAGTAAAAATAAGGAAATTATCCATAACTTGACAACGCCGCAGCCGATTATGATTTTTTTTCAGCGATAAAAAGGTGAAAGATGTCGGAATGAATTTGTGAAAAAAAATACAGGGTGTTCCATTTGAAAAATTCTAATGAATGCCATCTGAATCTTGCAAAATTCTAAATAGAGCGAAATAGAGCACCCTGTTAAAGAACATGTCGCAAAATTACTGAATTTGTATACGTGAGACCTTGCTACTACCGTATGCCAAAAATATGTTCATAATTTGAATAAATGAATATACCATGCCCAATTCAACATGACTCTTCAATAGTGGTAAAAATAGGTTTATCAATTATAACTTGGCAACGCCGAAACCGATTCCAATTTTTTTTACAGCGATGTGAAGGTAAACCTCAGCGGAATAAATTCCGAATAAACAATACGGGGTGTTCCATTTGAAAAAGCTCGTCTCCGAGTCATCCCGCTTTTATAAAACACCCAGTAATGTTGAAAATATTTTTGAAATAAGCAACTTGAGTAACTGAAGAAGTTTTTCCTTCAAAGTTTTTTTCTATAGGTTATGGCTTTGGAGATATCGAAGACTTACGCACTAAATGGACACACTGTATAGTCTTTGCAAAGTCACTGAGACAGCTTGATCGAGTGCCGTCGGCGTTGTTTTTTGCTGAATTTATCTCAAGTGACTTTGCAAAGATACCAAAATATATGATTGCTAATGTTTTTTTCGCAGATACCCGGATTACCAGACAACTGAGCAGGGAGGAGATGCTCCAGAACATAATCAAATGGCTGCAAGACGTCTACAACGATCAGCAGAAGAGCAGGAGAAGTAGGTCGTTTTCGGAGGAATTTGAGACGCCGTTCACGCCTTACAGCTTATTCGCTTCAAACCGAAAAGATGATGCATGTAAATATCGTTGATTAATATTACTAATACTGAGTGTGAGAAAATATCGATGACTATACCTACTTACAATCGAAACAAACCCAAAATTATCAATACATCTTTTATTCAACCGGAGTACATGATTCGGACCTATATATATATCCATCATCAGTCCACCATCAACCTGAATTAAATTTACCTAGATATATTTTATGCATGTTATGCTATGATGCATAAAGCAAAATATAACATTTGATTTCGTTCTGGTTGACAAGTCAGCGCCAAAGCGTCATTTGAACCAATGCATATGCTCCTCCTTTCAATTTCCTTATATTTATTCACATTGGAAAATAATACTTATCAAGTGAGCCAGTGGCGTAGCGAGAGGTGTCGGGGCCCCGGTGCAACGAGGGTTGATGGGGCCCTAATTCACTGAGAAAATTTTCCAACCCTAGAGTTAAAGGTAGTTGAAGATCGAAAAAAAAAGAACAGAATTGTTAAAAATGTATATCTCTTGTAGTGGCGAGTCGTTATGAGTTTGAAACTTGAGAAAGCTGATATGAGCAAAATTGCGCTTCAGGCAATTCTTTTCGAAATTTCAAGGTCAAGCTGCCTGGTTCAGAAGTTGAAAATGAGAATCGAATATATTTGTCTCTTGAGTATGAATCTAGTAGCCTCATCAGTAAATTCAAGTTCCAATGAAAACAACTGAATGTACCTAAGTATTTTTCTGTTCTCTCGAATGAAGTCACGAAATGACAAAGTTTAAGAATTGTTTTTGCAAATGTTGACGAGCCATGGCAGCCACCTGATACCTCCGCTTGTTCTCTGCAATCTGAGTGAAGCTATTTGTCCATCGCCTCACCTCCGTTTGTACCATGCCGTGACTTTTGCAGACATTTCACGGTATTTAGTTGAAACATCTGATGTATTTTGAATCTGACAGTTATTATCAATGAGTACCATTTTATGATTCAAGTTTTTGGTAGCATGAAAATGACTCCAACAGGGCAACCAAATTGAAACAATCAAATCTTTAGGACACGTGTATAAGGACGCAAATTTTCATAGGTGAGTATATTCAGCCTGTGACCGTTTTGATTAGCTTCCAACCGAGCTTTCAACTGACGATTATGATCTTGTCTCGCTGCTGGCAGCAATATTTCATATTGTAAAATCACAGTTGAGTTCAACATTCATAGGCGCCCAGCAATAATGATTAAGTAGGGAATATACACTCACCGGCAAAAAAAAAACCAGCCACCATAAAATTTCACCCTGTAACTTTTTTAATTCTTGTCCGATTTTGGTGAAATTTTGACCAAACCGTATATTCATGTTTCGGAATATTTTCTCGGATATTAGGTCCCGAGGAGAGCTGATGGTTTGATCATTATACAGGGACAAACAAAAGTTACTCTTTTACCCTTAACTTCCTATTGCCTTGTGGAAAAAGTGAGTGGTTAAACTTGGCTTCATTATGTTCAGGATTGAAATTTGATCCTTTTTCGTCCTTCCTCAGAATATTGGTTCGAGATTCACGTCAATATCTCCTTTTGAAGAGAATATACAAGTGTTCGAAGAAAGTATGGAATTATTTAATTTTTGTCAACAATAATTCAAAACCTCTAGAGTATCTTAGGGATGAACTTCAGAGGCTCATTCGCATTCGTCCGGCCTTGTCAGAGACTCTTCAAGAGCTACAATTGAAGAATTTTAGTTATTCTCCAAGTCCACTTGAGAAATTTGATCAACTCGATGACAGGGCGGTTAAATGCTGTAATTCAAACTCGAGGAGAGCATACTGGTTATTGACTACAGGTCTGCTTTTTGTTTGTTTTTTGTATTTAAGGTGTTTTTAGGTAAGTAAGTGCTATAAAAATGAGGTAGAAATTAGTAATATTGATTCCTCAAGTTGTTAATCAATAAGTTGATGTAGGATCTGATTATTGTTGAAAATAATTGAAAAATGCCACAATTTTGCCACATGGCGTTAAGAAGTAAAGGGTGAAATAGTAACTTTGGTATTTCCCTATATAATGATCGAGTCATCAGTTTTTCACAGAAACTAATATTTAGACTAACATTCCGGAACATTAATCTACGATTTGATCGAAATTTCACAAAAATCTGACAAGGATTAAAAAAGTTACAGGGTTCATGAATTAATTTGCACACCAATACTTTCTTGCATTATACCTGCTAATGCAGATTGGGATATAGGGGCCCCTCCGGGGCCCCAATGTCCCGGGGCCCCGGTGCACCGCACCGAACTGCCCGTCCATAGCAACGCCACTGAAGTGAGCAATATGTTTTATGAATCACTTCAGATAATTTGAAACTTCTCAAATAAGTAAAAAAACACAGTAGAGTATTGACCTCATTTGACTTAGTTGCCGAAATACGTATTATTAGGGCTTTTATAATTATCATCCTATTCATGATTTATAATTAATTTAATACTCTTACTGGTAAATACCTCACTTTAGATTTATGAAAATTATCATGCTTCATGCTAATAGATTTTTTATCATGGACATAGTATTATTATCAATATCAATGTTATTATTGTTATTGATTATAGAAACGAGGACATGATAATGCAAAACCACATAAAACAGTGGATGACAGTACATAAGTTGAGAATAGTAGGTAATAGATCGTTAATTTTTACCAGCATCAACAATAAATTTGTTCAATAATGGATGAGCCACATAGTCAGTGAATGTTTTTGCAATTCAATGTATAGATACTTGGTGGAAATTGAATATTGCATATTGTTTTCCAGAAATTGACGCAATAAGTTCTTAACATCTTTAATGCACATATGAAAGTAAAATTCATGTGGAAAATAGTTGCACACGTTGCACATAAGTAGGTATACACTTTACAACTTCGTTATAGAGTAAAGAACGAAGAGATAGGTTATTACCTTATTAATTATAAAGGTTTTTATCTGAATGGCAATGATGGCATGTCATAATGACAACGTTATGTCACTCAATTTTGATGACATAAGGAAGCTCATTATGGTACTAAGTACCATAATGAAATTCTATAAGGAAAACATGTAATGGTTTGATCAAAAAAGTTTATTCAAAATGCATAACTATGTACAAAACTATTTATTATAAATGGTAAAAGAACAATTACTACAATTTGTAATATTAATATAATGGCAAAGCACAGCTCACTCACCTACTAATATTTGAAACTACACAATACTTACTCCTTTAAAAATAGTTGTCATTGTGACATGTCGAAAATGCAGTTTTTATTTTTTCGAAAATGTATTGATATAAATGCCATCAGATAAAATTTTGTATGTAATACGAATCATAAACAATCATTATGGCACACGCCGTGTTATCGGACTCGGCTACGCCTCGCCCGATAACATTCACGACTTGTACCATAATGATCGTCTTTATGATCCTTATTACATAAATAACTATTAAGTTATTTTCTCATTATATCAAACAAAATACACTATGTGGCTCAATGGTGAAACAAGTTTTCGAGACTGATTGAAAAAAGAAGCTGTTTTGTGTTAAAAAAAAAGGTTTTGATTCATCGATTATATACCCCTTCAAGGAACACTATACTCAACAGTTGACTGCCACGGATATTTGAGAAGTGTTGCCTATCTAGTATCTAGGAACAAATTTTTGTTTCAAAAGTTACCATGTATTGAATGTTATCTACGGTAAAAGTTAGTCGTTCAAGTTTTACTTCATGTGACGCATTCTAGCTGTATTTGGGAAACTTCATTAATTTCAGTTGATAGACGTAACCTCATCACTCCTAGTACAAAGAGACCAAGGCCTTTCAAATCCAAGAATTCACTGAATTCAGAAGGTAACCGTACAGATTCCTATACGTATATAATGCACTTTCATCTACAGGGTGTTCCAGTGATGTTGTACAAAACTGCGAGGTCATATTTTTTGGGTCAATAAATCAAAATAAATAATTCCTTTCCGAGATTGGTGTTTTATCCGAGGTTTTATCCATTTTTGGACCTATTACAGTTGATAAATTATCACCAGGGGTGTGCAACGGGGCAAGACCGTTGTTTTTTTGCACATCCAGTAGGCGTCTACGCCAATAATGTTTTCAAAGCTTATTAACAATACTGAGGTAGTAGGCGGATATCAATATAGGAATGATTTGAACAACTTCAAGAAAAAATATATAACAAATAAAAAATATCACAGAAATAAAATTAAGGAATAAAAAAATGATGTTCAGCTTCCAGAATCACCCTTGACGTCCAGCTGTAAAAGCGTAGATGCCTACTCCTAAAATGGGATAATAAGTTTTGAGATCAATAACTAGACAAGTAATGACAGGTATAACTTATTTTTGCTGAAAGGATGTGTCTTCAACATTTTTTTAATGAAAATGGCGCTAACCTATAGCTGAACAACGAACAATAAGTGAAGTGTGCTTGAATGCTACAAGTGGCTTTTGTGGCAGAAACTACATTGAAGTAGAATTCAAATTATAATTTTTTTATGTATGTACATATCATTATTCAAAATCGTCGAAGTTATGACAAAAAAGAACTCCAAAAATGTTAACTTTGGCACCCACCTATGTTTCTCTCCTACTACCAATATTTTAGCTCAAATCGTAATGTTTTGAAGCCAAAAGCGTAACACACACATACCACATACTCCTCTATGTACAATTTCTTATGGACCACCCTGTATATCCAGCACTATATACTCTACATCAAAAAAACGATGTTCTACTGTTACTGATGTTTCATTTCAGTCTTAGAAGGAAGCTTCAGCGAATACTACCCTTCATCGAATGGGATTAGACCCAGACCGTTCCTTAAAAGGGGTAAATTTATTTGAATTCTGTGCACATTTTTATACAAGCACGCTTTATCTACATGTATATATTAGAAAACAGAAAACCACCCATGCACTAGCACAGTCAAATACATCAATCTCCAAATATTACCTACACACACCTACCAAATTTGATGATTTGGTTAATCAAGGGTAGGTACAACGTTTCGGTTCAAAGAAACGGTTACTGACAATGAAATTAGTGCCCGCAGAGAGGGGCCAGTGAAGGGCGTGTTTCTCCCCCGCCCCCCTGCCCTTCCGCCCTAAGAATCCAGCGCACTTATACTACCCTTTTCAACATATGAATACTTCGTATTTGTAGAATTTTTAATGAATTCTTATTGCTTACAAAGGCAATATATGTTACCATAGCTACCAGCCTGTACTACCAGCATCAAGGTACTGATAATGCACACCCTCAATATTTACTATAATCATTTATGTATTCCTCATTCATAATTTGTCATTATTCCAATAATTTGAGCCAAAGTTTTCTGTGTTTATGCAAAGAAAATATAATGATGGTCGATGAAATATGATTTCAATATTAATGAATTGTCTTCTTTTGTTTTACACAGTTAGTCCTCGAAAGGTCTTCACAAAAATCTACCATTCCTCAGGTTAAAACAACTTGATAGCTCTGACGTAGTCGCTACAAAAAAAACTACAAAAATAGCTGCCAGTAGGTACATTTCAGTTTTTTGCATTGTATTTGCGAATATAGTGAACATTCTGAAAAAATATAATGAAATATCTGTTAATTGTATTGAACGTTCCTGTGTAATCCACAACATCTGAACACTACAATCATGATATATGGATTTTTGCCAAATAAAGTACCAACGTATCATATATTATGTGAGTGAATTCTCATGGGCCGTTTCAAATTAGTAATGATTCGAAAATTGTAACTTCAGAGCTGTTCAGTGCCCAAACTGATCAATCAAGGTTATTGTGAAATCCTTCTAGGGACACTTGAAGACTCATTCCTCATTCATACCTAACATGAAATGGGTCATAATATAAGCACTTGGTCTCACCCTGGTGGATGTATGATTTCCAATTTGAAGGCATTTTACCTAGAACGAACAAAATAAGTCACCTGTGGTGCATTTTACAATATTATCTACACCTCCAGATAATCCAATCCTCGCCCCCCTTGAGAAAAATTCCTGCGGGCGCCCATGGTTACTGATATCCCCATATGCGCTGTTCATCCTTATCTTGGGCACACTGTATATACAATTACAATATTGACAAAGAATTGGTACACAAGAAATATAGCAATAATTGAAGATGTATATAGTGGTGAGTTGGCTGTATGTATAGATCCCACCCAACACTCAACACGTTTACATTCGCTCACATAACAAATAACCACGGTGCCGGTAGCTTTCTCAAACTGCTTTGTATGTTTACTACTCGCTCCATAATCCCACCAAGTATCGATCCACCATCTTCATTCCATTTCAGCTCGCCAAAACAACCTCAGGGAATACCTTCCACCCTCCTACACTCAAAAACCACGCCCATTCGAGCCCAGGCCTTCGGGAGGCGGGACAGACGAAGAAGGTAACTTCGTCGACGGTGGATACCCTCCCGCCGGCATCACCCCCCAACCACCCTTTCCCATCTACACGAACCCCATCACAGGGGGAATCACGGGGGAGGGTTACCCGTCGCCCACTGGGCCGGCCGAAGGGCCTAGTAGCCCCGCCCCTGAGGCCTATCCCACTTCTGGACCCGTTGGTAAGTTGAAACGATAATAAAGATTCTTGTTTTGAGGTTAAAACCTGTTTTTCAGTATCCAGCACTACTTCCTATCCTACTCAACCCCCGTCTGCCACCGGGTACCCATCTTCTTTCCCAACTCAACCCTCCTCGGGATATCCAACCGATAGACCTGTTTACCCTCCGTTTCCACCTGTCTCCACCGAACGCCAAGAATTCACAGGCTATCCAACTCAGCCCCCTGTTGAAACAGAAAGGCCTCTGGGACCCACCGAAGGACCTTACTTGCCCCCACAAGTCACAACGGGCTATCCTACAGGAAGGCCAGAAGGCCCACCGGTGACGTCGGAGCAGCCTGGATTCCCTACACAACCTCCACCAGGTACTAATCACTCTATAAATCTCGCTAGGAACCTTTGCAATAATTCTCTTCTAGGTGTAACCCCTGAGCAGCCTGGCTACCCCACGCCAAGTCCTGAGTACCCAGGATTCCCTACTGCTCCGCCGCCAAGTTACACCCCTGGCTATTCTACTGCCACGCCCCCAGAAGTCACGCCTGGCTACCCAACAGCGCCGCCTTCAGGTGTCACGCCCGGTTTTTCTACGGCCCCGCCTCCTGGTTTATCGACCGGCTACCCGACTGCCCCGCCTCCTGGTTTATCGACCGGCTACCCGACTGCCCCACCCCAAACGGTCACGCCTGGTTTCCCTACGAGACCGCCCACTGGGTACCCCGGTTCATCGGGAGAGTTGTCGACGAGTGGGCCTGGTATTAGTACTCAACAACCAGAGGTAGGGACGAGTGGGAAGCCTGAGGAGCCTACCGAGCGACCCAGCGAAGGTGGATCTGAAGGTATGAACATAAATGCGTCGAGATAATATGAAAAATACGATGAACTGTCATAAAATTTCAGCTATACTGGTTTCCAAATTCTGTAAAATTCACTGAATAGGTACCGTAATTGAGAGTATCTTTTATTTTACTTCAATGAGTTCTCTGTGATCAGAACACATGATTTCTGCTGTCCTGTGACAATATTAAGTGCCCGATCATTGGATAGAAAAGTTTTGCCATGGCTAAATGTCCATCAAAGAAAAATGATCAATAGTTATTTATTAAACAAGGGAAAAAAGTACTCACTTTTTTCCCACGGGAAAAAAGCAATTTATGAAAAGTGACATTTTATAACCTGCCAACAGAGATGAAATGCTCAACTTTTTTCCGTCACAGAAAAAAACCGTTTATTTTGCAGGTGTGCCAACGGATGAAGACTTGAAACATCCGCCGCACATTCACGCCATAGATGTCGCGTGTGCCAAGGACATGATGACCATCAACATCGAATTCAACAGGGTGTTCAATGGATTGATCTACTCCAAAGGATACTACAGCATGCCTGAGTGTCGATACGTGAAAGAGAATTCAGGACAAACGAAATACACGTTCACTGTGAATCTCAACATGTGTGGTAAGATATAACATTTATGTTAAAAAAAGCTTTATGTGCAATTTTTGCATCCTCTTTACTCTGTATAAGCTATAAGCCATATATAGAGTGTTTGAAAAAGACGCGGCAATATTCAAGGGTGTGATTCCTCAGATCATTCCCATAAATGTAGGTCCGGAAATGCATTGTTTCCAAGATACAGGTTGTTGACGTTTTTTTTAATGATGTTCTCTAAGATTAATTCAAATGTCTTCTCACCGATTTATTTGAAATTTGGCAGCGTTGTTTCTAGTGATGAGAGGTGGATTTGCCCATAACAATATTAAAATTAACAGTGACGTTATGGGAGAGGAAATTTTATAAAATTTATTGATAAAAGTGTATGCCACCAACGTTGATTTAATTTCGACCATTCCCTGAAATAGAACGACTAAAACTTCAACTTTTTTGTCTCTTGGATTTTTCTTAAATCTTGCTTCGTTTATTAAAAAAACTTTGATGCCCTGTATCTTAGTACCAATGCATTTCCGGATCTGGGAACTTTTTTTCATGAAATGATCTGAGGAATCATCCCCTTGAATATTGCCAAGTCTTTTTCAAACACCCTGTATATAATTTTTTATTTATAGGTACGGAATTCATCAATGCTTTCGATAGTCAAGGTAAAAGCTACTTAGAAAACGTTCTAGTCATCCAAAATGAGCTTGGTATCCAAGAAATTTGGGATACTGTCCGGTCTGTCAGGTGTTTATGGGAAGGTAACCTCAAGGTAAGTTACTTCATTGTCAACTACGTAGTTGAAATCACGCCAGTCGGGCAACCAGACACTCCCGTATGGGAATTTCAGTTTTGGAGAGTTTCTTTCCTAAATTTCTCCTCAGATGGCGTTGCTTTCATATTGTCTACCTATATGAATGACGCTTCTGGGGGAATATATAATGCCGACTTGATTTTTGTTTGGTTAGGCTACGCTTAGTCGACGGTCTTAGGACTGCTGGCTGGAGACTGCCTTGCACTGATGAGAGTCAAAGAACTCGAACCCAGTCTGTAGGTGTCTAGCGTGGCCTGGCTAACGAAATCAATAGGCAATCAGTATTCGTTTATACGAGTCGATGAATACATTTCGGGAGGATGTAATTCAATGTTCTGCGTGGCATCAGCCAGGAAAGTATAGTTGTTTTTCTCCCAAAATTTACCATTCTGTGGATATGACTTTGAGCGTTATGTATTTATTTTACTTCATTGTATATACACTATATATAATTCCTAATAATAATAAATGCCATGTATATGGTATTGTTACGGTAATGTTCAGCTTCGGTTTTTCACTCAACAGATTCACAATAATCACTTCTCTTTTCTAATATGAGTTGAAGAACATGTTCAACTCATTTATTTATTCGTTATGGTTTTTTTACTAATATACTAATCCCATATCGGTTTACCTTCAGCAATTTATATCGACCTGACCCAAGATTGTTCTAGCATTTTCAAGACATTGCGAATATTGCGATAGATCCTTTGACAACCATTTTTCATCTTTCACGTAAACATCCACTAAAGTGATGCGAACCGCACGCCTTCCGAGGAAAGCGGTGCGAGTCTAGTCCGCAAAAGGAGATCTCGTAACAATATCATCGTGAAGATATAAAGGGTGGTGCTTCTGATCATAGAGACACACTGTATATAAGGCAGGAGGTTAAATATTCGTCAAGATAGGATTAGTGTTTCGAAAATTCGAGATAAGTCGAAATTTCGAGATAAGACTTTGAAATTCGAGAAAACAGCGTTGGAATTTCGAGATGAATGTGAATTTTTTTTTAGATAAATGTTGTAATTTCGAGATGATTGGGCTGAAAGACTTCGGTCAATGGCCTTTTGGGGTATATCCTTAATAAAGATGTTCTCTCTCTCTCTCTCTCGAGATGATCGTAAATTTTGTTTAGATAAAAGTTGAAATCTCGTTCAATTGTCGAAATTTCGGAATAATGTAGTCAAAATTTCGAAATAAAATCTGAAATTTCGAGGTGAAAGTAGACATTTTGAATAAAAGTCAATACTTCGACATAAAAGTTGCATTGCAAGAGGATGAACATTTGTCAGATTGGATAAGTATTCCGTAACTTCGACATAAAAGTTGGAAATTCGCAATAAGTGTAAATTTCGAGATAAGTCGAAATTTTGATATGAATGTCGAAAATTTTCGATACAAATCGATATTTTGAAATTGAAAATTTCTAGTTGATAACATAACCGTTTAAAATTCGAGAAAAGTGTCGAAAATTTCAGATAAATGTGGAAAAAATTTAGAGATGAAAGCAGAAATTTCTAGATAAACGGTGAAATATTTTCGAGATAATAGTCGAAATTTTGGAATGATATATAGTCAAAATATCGAAAGCAATTTCGCGATAATAGCGTAAATTTCGAGATAAAAGTTGAAATTCTGAGATGAATAATGTCGAATATTTTCAATTAGAAATGATATATTTTGATATAAAAGTTCAAATTTTGAGATAAAAGTGATTTCGCATAAAAGTTGAAATTTCTTACTGAAATCATACCTATTTTCGAGATCAAGGTCAAAATTTCGACAGGAAAGTAGAAATTTCGAGTTGGAAGTCGAATTTCGTGAATAGTCGAAATTTCTGGATCACTTTTAATCAACATTTCGAAATAGAAGTTGAAATTTGGAGTTGAAAGTTGAAATTTTGAGAAGAGAGTCAACATTTCGAAATCATACCTAGTCTAAATTTTGAGATAATGGCCGAAATTTTTTGATAAAAGTTTGAATTCCGAGATAACAGTGTAAATTTTGATAGGAAAGTTGAAATTTGGAGATTAATAATTTTTAATAGAACTTGATATATTGGGGTAAAAGTCGAAATTTTGATCTAAAAGTCCAAATTTTGAGATAAAAGTCCAAATTTTGAGGTAAAAGTCGTGACTTCGCATGAAATTAGGAATTTCGAAATGAAAGTCATACTTATTTTCCAGATCAAGGGCAAAATTTTGAGATAAAAGTCCAAATTTTGAGATAAATGTTGGAATTTGGAGACAAATACTGTCGAAAATTTTCAATAGAAATTGATATTTCGAGATGAAAGTCAAAATTTTTAGATAAAAGTCCGAATTTTGAGATAAAAGTCCATATTTTGAAATGAAAGTCCAAATTTTGATATAAAAGTCTGAATCTTGAAATAAAAGTCCAGTTTGAGATGTAAGTCCAAATTTTGAGATGAAAGTCCAAATTTTGAGATAAAAGTCGTGATTTCGCATGAGAAAAATGAAATTTCGAGGGGAAAGTTAAAATTTTGAGAATAAAGTTGAAATTCCGAAATCATAGTCGAAATTTCGAGATAATGGTCGAAATTTTGTCATGAAAGTTGGAATTTGGAGACAAATACTGTCGGAAATTTCCAATAGAAATTGATATTTCGAGATGAAAGTCCAAATTTTTAGATAAAAGTCCGAATTTTGAGATAAAAGTCCATATTTTGAAATGAAAGTCCAAATTTTGATATAAAAGTCTGAATCTTGAAATAAAAGTCCAAAGTTTGAGATGTAAGTCCAAATTTTGAGATAAAATTCCAAATTTTGAGATAAAAGTCCAAATTTTGAGATAAAAGGCCAGAGTTGGAAGTCGAATTTTCTTAATACTAGTCGGAATTAGGAGATAAAAGTAGGAATTTATATCGACTGAAAAACCCCCTACCTCAAGTATAGCTACTAAACCGACTAACCTATAACCTCCCTCTTTCAGGACCACCTCAGCGTGGGCCTGATGGTGGGCATGCTGACGCAGGAGATCGTCACCTTCAGCGGGGACACCGCCACGGCCAGACTGGACATCCTGTTGGGCCGCGGGCCCCAAGGCCAGCCGGCCTCCGGATTGGTCAAAATCGGGGAGCCGATGACGCTGGTGGTGTCCATCAGCGGCGATCCAGGCTTCGACATCCAGGTAGGTATCTGCTTGTTATACACTCACCGACAAAAAACCGGCCTACAAAAAAATTGGTCACCCTCTTCAATCTATAACGAGTATGCCCTCCTCGAGTTTGAATTACAGCATATTCAACCTCCGTGGCATCGAGATGATCAAATTCCTCAAGTAGTCATGAAGAATTGCCTGAATTTTCATTGAAGGGCGAATCGTATAGCTATTGAAGAGTCTCTGACAAGGCCGTACGAAGACGAATGGAGTTCATCCCAGAGATGCTCTATTGGTTCTGAATTATTGTTAGTAAAAATTTAAAAATTCCATACTTTCTTGAAACACTTATTGTATCTTCTCCTGAAATTAAGATATTGACGTAAATCTGGAACTATTGTGTTACACACACTCATATTGAGCATATGGAAACTTCGAATGCGAATATCTGCGTAATCGTTCGAAATAACCCGGTATCGTTGAATTCGTCATCATAATAATCCCTTATCGATTATGGAATACAATACAGGGTGGTGGCCGATTCAAAATGCAAAAGTTGGTGTCGTTTCCGCTGAAACTGGAAGTGATAAAAGAAAAATGGTTTCATCAATTAATGAGCAATTTGGTATACTTGCTACCAACCAATTTTCAAAACCCTATCTAGAATAATTCAAAAGTTACAATCCTGGCCGTTTTTTGTGCACTTCTCTGTATATAATATCTAGTAACATTTTCGTAACCTTACTTTCAGGTGAAGGACTGTAAAGCGGTGGACTCAACGGGAGAAAACGTCGTGCCCCTCACCGACGACAATGGATGCGTGCTCAAGCCGAAGCTGTTCGGGGCATTCCAGAAAACAAGAAATACTGGAAATTCGGGTAAGCGATAAGTATATTTTGATTAACTTTCTATTTTATCATTATTCAATTATGCTTATATATACTCCATTTTTATAATAGCAATACTTATCGTGGTTCAGTGCAACCCTTACAGAAAAAAACGTGGACGCCCTGAAAGTCACAAATATTTTTTTTCTACGAACGTCAAAAAATGACAAGGTTCGCGCATTGATAACAAATTGCGAAGTGGCACTTTTTTTCAGTTTCCTACGTTACCATGATACCTTGCACATAACAATGCGCGAAGTAAAACAGTGCGCGAAGTACCTACTTCGCGCATTGTTATGTAAAATATATGAGATATTTTTATTCCAACTTAATGGTCCTTAATCGAGCAAACATCCACGAAATCATTCATTTCTGAATGTTCAACCATAACTTTGTGTTTTATCTCTTGGAGCGCACGAAAGGAAATTCCTATTATGTTCGTGGAACATCGTGCGTACCTAGGGAGGATAGGGGGAGGCTTTTTAAGCCGGTTCAACACTATTTTTCATATTAAGCTAAGCATATTTTTACTTTAGATCTATATTTTTTGACGTTTGTAGAAAAAATGTTGTTTGCAACTCGAGCGCGAAATACTTTGGTCATCTCGACTATTTTTTTAACTCGGCTACGCCTCGTTAAAAAAAATAGATCTCGATCACCAAAGTAGCATTTCGCGCTCTAGATACAAAAATAACTATTTTCTACAAACGTCAAAAAATGACAAGGTTCGCGCATTGATAACAAATTGCGAAGTGACACTTTTTTCAGTTTCCTACGTTATCATGATTCTTGGCACAAAACAATGCGCGAAGTAAAACAGTGCGCGAAGTACCTACTTCGCGCATTGTTATGTAAAATTCATGAGATATTTATATTTCAACTTTATGGTCCTCAATCGAGCAGACATCCACAAAATCATTTATTTCTGAATGTTCAACAATAACTTTGTTTTTTTTCTTGGAGCGCATGAAAGGAAATTCCTATTATGTTCGTGGAACATCGTGCGTTCCTAGGGAGGATAGGGGGAGACCTTTCAAGCCAGTCCAACACTATTTTTTATAAAGTTAAGCATATTTTTACTCTAGAACTATATTTTTTGACGTTTGTAGAAAAAATTTTGTTTGCAACTCGAGCGCGAAATACTTTGGTCATCTCGACTATTTTTTCAACTCGGCTAGGCCTCGTTAAAAAAATCAGATCTCGATCACCAAAGTAGCATTTCGCGCTCTAGATACAAAAATAACTATTTTCTACAAACGTCAAAAAATGACAAGGTTCGCGCATTGATAACAAACTGCGAAGTGACACTTTTTTTTAGTTCCCTACGTTACCATGATACCTTGCAAATAACAATGCGCGAAGTAAAACAGTAAGTAGGTACTTCGCGCATTGTTATGTAAAATTCATGAGATATGTATATTTCAACTTTATGGTCCTCAATCGTGCAAACATCCATGAAATCATTTATTTCTGAATGTTCAACAATAACTCTGTTTTATCTCTTGAAGCGCACGAAAGGAAATTCCTATTATGTTCGTGGAACATCGTGCGTACCTAGGGAGGATAGGGGGACGCCTTCAAAGCCAGTTCAACACTATTTTTTATATCAAGCTAAGCATATTTTTACTCTAGAACTAAATGTTTTGACGTTTTTAGAAAAAATATTGTTTGCAACTCGAGCGCGAAATACTTTGGTCATCTCGACTATTTTTTGAACTCGGCTACGCCTCGTTAAAAAAATCAGATCTCGATCACCAAAGTAGCATTTCGCGCTCTAGATACAAAAATAACTATTCTTCTTCAACTATCAAAAAATGACAAGGTTCGCGCATTGATAAAATTTTCTTCATTTTCCTACGTTACCACGACACCATATATATTATGTGCGAAGCGAGATTTTTGTATTTAAACTTTATGGTCCTCAATCGAACAAACATCCAAGAAATCATTTATTTTATAATGTTTAACATTAATTAAGGAGTTTTAAGCCAGTTCAACAATATCTTTTATATATTAAGCTGAGCATATTACTACTTTTATTAAGACTATATTTCCAAAAGGAATTTTCTATGAATATTCATGGAATATTGTCAAGAAGTACAAATGCCTATGAATTAACATCACTCAAACTCTCGTTCAATTCAAGATCCTTCATCATAAACCAACTTTTCCAAATTAAAACATCCAGTACATTTGTAGTTTCGATCAAGTCAGCGGAGTTCATAGACGTCAGTTCCTTTAATAATATTTGCAGAAAAAACCGCTTACCGCGCGATAATACCTATGGTAAGCAATATCGAAAGGTAACGGCCATTCCCATAGCGGAAAATTGCGAATCTAGCATCGATTTCAAATATAAATAGAACCCGAACCGATAAGGCATGGCCGGCATGGGCATTATTATTTCAATCGTTATATTCGATTCGTCACTACCAATTATTATATTAAAATCAGTACCTAACATTCATTCATTGATTGCTGACTTCCAAAGTGGCACTATGCCACATTGGGGGTGTGAAATCTCCTCGACTTTGGTGCTGCTGTCCATAACATAATGTAAGTCCCAAGAATAACCATCATCCTGTTTCTGTTGTTCACTTGTGTCATGTTTGTTCTTTCCTGTTTCGCCCTTTTGGCACATTTTTACGTTTTCGTGATTGAATAAATTGTTTTTGGGGATGAATGTGGTTGGGAACTGAAAATCCTCTTGCGAAATGGCCAAGCGAGTACTCTTAAATTGATTCATCGAAGTTAAAGCGATGTCTGAGTTGCGACACGTGGTGAAGGCCCATCTGAGTTGCGATAATATCTCGGGCTGTCCGAGTATTCCTGACGACCATGTTGTTCCAGGAGCTTCCATAATAGCCTACGCCTATTTCAACGCCTTCAAGTTCCCCGACGTGATGGACATCATGATGGAGTGCAACATCGAGCTCTGCAAAACGGACTGCGAGATGTGTCCCAGTCCCGACCAGCCACTCGAGCCGGGCAGGCGGCGCAAGAGAGACCTCCCTTCCAACGACACCCTGGGCGGCACTCTGGGCGACGGAGTGATGATGGGCAAGCATCTGAGGGTGGTGTTGCCCGAAGACCTGCGCCTGAGCGGGCCCTCGGCGGCTGACGACGGCGTTTGCATGTCCACGCAGAGCTTCGTGTTCTCTGCGTCGGTGTTGATATCGCTGCTCACTGCCAGCTGTCTGTTCAGCGCTTATGTCTGGTTGAAGAGTCAGAGCAGAGGGCAGGTTTATAAGAAGTGAAGACTATTTTTTTGAAAGCGAGTGAGGCCTTTTAATAGTTTGTGATTTGTGATGCATTTTGGAATATTTCCAAAAATGGCCAACGTCCGAATGACCACTACATACAAAGATTTTTTACCTTCAACAACAGATTAAAATAAATAAACAAATAGTTTATTATCAAACCCTATTCTTCAGGCATAGATTGGAAGAACTCTTGTGAATATACCCTATTCTTTGCATATTCTCGCAAATATTACTTCTCAAGTCCATTTTCTCAAATTTATTTATTTGTTTCTGCAAGGATCCCTTTGAGTTGCTGTTGTGAAAATATTTTTGAACCTTTTATATTACTTTATTCAATATACATAAAAATTCGAATTAATATTTTTATTTTATTGAAATAAATAAAGTAAAAAATGTTTATACCGATGAGAACAAAAAATTCAACACAACAATTTTAAAATTTGGTAAAATTATCATAGAACTAAAATTGGATGTACCAGATCAATGAAGATTCAAAAATATGTCATGGAAGCCATCCATTCTCGAAGTGGTCTAGTATTTTTCCAAATATGGAAGGGAAACAAACTCAAAGTCGGTCGACCACAAAATATAATATAAAACCTCATAAAACACTCATGTGTGTGACTAGTTTTTTCGGCACCATATGGTTATCTTCAGACACAATGGTAAAGAAGAAATACCTGGAAATCACAAAGACATTAAATCTAAGACAATATGTTATAGCCTAGAAAGTACATAGATTTTTTTGAAGTAATAACTAAATTTTTTTTTTCAAACATGTCGTATATAGAAGAATCAGCCCGGTTTGAGACTGAATGACTTTGATACGACTGAAAAGCCAAAAGAACTTTACTAGGAGTAAGTTCAACATCGGTAAGTGAATTAAACGAGAATTAATAAAAACCTACTCAAACAGCTTCATCTCCATTAATGGCAAGCAATCAAAAGGAAAGACATTGAGAAGCATAATTATGAATGTTCATTTGACTTTGACATGATAGTGTTGACAATTTTGAAGTCAGAATGAAAACCAAATATGAACGAGTACTTGTTCCAAATAAGTCAAATCCACATTTATAATTATGCCTCACTATTATGTATTTTCTTTTGATAGCTTGCCTGGAATGGAGATGGAGCTCTTTGAGTAGATTTTTATTAATTCTCGTTCAATTCACTCACCGATGTTGAACTTACTCCTAGTTAAGATCTTTTGGCTTTTCAATTGTTTCAGTCATTTAGTCTCAAACCGGACTGATTATTCTATATATGACCTGTTTTAAAAAAGTTCCAGTTATTTAGTAATTACTTCAAAAAAAGATATCTATTTTCTCAGCTGATATATTGTCTTAGATTTGAGATCCTTGTATTTTCCATGTACTTCTTCCTTACTGTTGTGTCTGAAGATGGCCATGGAGCCGAAACTAGTCACACACATGAGTGTTTTATATTAAATTCTGTGGTCAACCGACTTTGAGTTTGTTTCTTTTTCTCATTTTTATTCAAAAATATGTTACTATATAAAATAAATGATTCTGATATGTATAGATAATTATGAAATAATCTTGTTAAGCATTATATTGTAATACCAACCTTTTGTTATTGTCACTCTTTGTGAGAAAATAATAGCAGGAATATTGTTTCATATTATCCTTTTTGTATAAATGTATAGAAACTAAGATAGGAATTTGATTTGTAATAAACTCCATGTTCTTAATGCTTATATTATGATAATTGTGCCACCATAGAAACATAACTGATTTACAAGTGTTTACTCAACTATATGGAAAAAAAAATAGTTTCAAGTTTAAATTATACACTGGTATACTTTATCTCTATTTTATAAACTGCCAATCTACACTTGACTCAATTTAATTAAATTATTTTCTTTAATCTACAATATTTTGTATGATTTATTTATGTTTTATGTAAATAAATGTGTAAAAAACATATTTCTTTTCATTTAAAAAAATGTATAACTTTGGGAGCCACTTATTCAGGTTAATGTCTATCATAGATCATGTTTCATTACTTAATGGTTGATTAGAACCATACCATAGACTACAGAAGATAATCTATACCATACAAACCATATAAATCATTGACTTATTTGAAATATCGTCTCATTTGTTATGTGCAAGAAGATTATGCAACAATACTATAGAAATGTGCTTTAGTTTTAGTATTACAAATGTTATGAAATATTGTCTCAATAACAGGTGACTTGCTTGTTCTTATAAGAACATACTTGTGGAAAGCATAATTTTAAATCAAAGATAAGTACATTTCAATCATTATTCCAAAATGCATAAAATAACAGAAATCTTGGTGTGTTTTATGTTTTACTTATGATTTCCAATGATTGCATAGAAAAAAATTAGCAATGAAAAGCAAGTTGACATTTCAGAACCTCTTTGAACTAGGCATTGAAAATCTATATTTTGGCAGTAAAAGAATTCAAATGCTTAATCTAAAATATATCCATTATCACATAATCCCAAACCACTGACTTCAAATTGCTAGCAAAAATCAACAATGAAGAACTCTAGTTAGAGCAACATAACTGATTTTGCTAGGTATGTCATGATATCCTATAGGACCAGCTTCACAGTCTGCACAAGTCAGGTATTTGTTGTTGCCCACTGTGTTAGAAAATCCAACATTTTGGAAAGTGAACATGTCACCAACTGACCAGAAGAGAGATACTGCTTCTGATTCTGGATTTTGCTCATTAGTTTTAGACTGTCTCATAAGAGGTAATTGGAACTAAAAAATAAACTGATAAAAAATTATTTTGCGGATATTTCAATACAAAAAGCAAAAACAGTGAGGCAATAACTAACCTCAAAAGATGTGAAAGATGCTGATGTTGGTGTGAGAATAACTGAATTACAGAATTTACAAGTGATACTCCTAATATTTTTTCCATCTGATATTTCACTTTCATAATTCTCGCTACAATTGGGCATTTCTTTTACTTGGGAAAACAAATCTCATGTAATAAAAAAAATATCCAGAAACCAGAGAAAACAGAATAATTGCAAATTGCAAGTGTTACATGTGTCAGAACTGTCAAATAATTGACATCACTTCTCAAGTTCTTATTCTTCTTACATTTCATCTCATTATCTCTATTATTTTTTGAACTAAAATCGTTTGTACTTTGGAATAATAACTACTCTCCAATGAAACTAGAATAATATCAACAATTTTAACAAAGATGATACCATTCTACTTGATGAAGATGATTTTTCGTCATTATACTGGTGAACTAAAAGTTACTAACTACTAATGGTAATGTCGTGTTGTCACTGTTGTCGTGATTGAAAGGAAGAAGAGTCGCTGTCAAAAAGTCAAATGTCAAAAACTATTTTTTCTTTTTTCTTCCTTTTCATGTTCGATTGACAAGGTACACGTTTTGATCCATTTATTTACGAATTTTTTCAATTTATGGTGTATCATATTCATCAGATCGACTTTAATTAGAAAGTGTGTAATTGCTTGACATTAATTTTATATTTGCCAACTAAATCTTGAAGCGATGACCAACTTTTGTGCGGGATAATTTGTGATTACTTTTCGATACTTTCCATCGGCTTGTGATGTGTTGATATATTTTATTCCAAAGTACATTAAATTATTAAATTTTCAATGTTCAAAGTTTTAAGAAATTTCGAATTCACCTCGAGATAGTTGAAAATTTCAATAGCTTCGTGAAAATCTCTTGTGATATTTTGAAGTACTACATACTGTAGGTTATATTTTGTGATGTTTACAATGTGTTTTTGATTTTCAGATGTCATCGAAAATAATCAAAGCCGGAGGCGGCGAGCCCGATGCTTTCGAAACACAAGTCGCCCAAGCTCTGCTTGATTTGGAAATGAATTCTGATTTGAAGGCCCAGCTTAGAGAATTGCACATTACCAAAGCTAGGGAAATTGAATTGAATAACAAGAAGGTAGGTCCAGATATAGTACATCCTAATTCTTGATGCTAATTTAATGGCTTTCTAGTCCGTTATTATCTACGTGCCCATGCCAAAACTGAAGCAGTTCCAAAAAGTTCAAACCAGACTGGTACGTGAGCTTGAGAAGAAGTTCAGTGGTAAACACGTAGTTTTTGTAGGAGAACGAAAAATTCTGCCCAAACCTACGCGTAAAACACGTGCCTCAAACAAGCAGAAACGTCCACGATCACGTACTCTAACTTCAGTGTATGATGCTATCTTGGAAGACCTTGTATTTCCAGCTGAAATTGTTGGTAAAAGGATCCGGGTGAGGTTAGATGGCTCTCAGCTGATTAAGGTCCACCTTGACAAAAATCAACAGACAACAATTGAACATAAGGTGAGGTTTTGGTCACAAAAATTTTATCCAAATATTCAGCTATGTATAAATATGGGCTTGAGTCTATGTGAAATCTAGACCTGTAAGCTAATGGTCTGTTCATAGAAAAAGCTTGTATTTAATTATTTAATTTCAACTTATCTAAAAGAGTTCAAGCATTCCTTTCACTCAGATGCTCTCATAGAACTGGAGAAGATTAAATTAGATTTTTCTTGTTTTTTGATGAATTATAATGTGTGCATGTTCATATTTTTTACTTTTTGTTTTGTTCTAGGTGGACACATTTACGTCAGTCTACAAAAAGCTGACTGGTAGGGAAGTCACTTTTGAATTCCCAGAACCTTATTTGTAAATTGACCTTACAGTTGTTTAATAAAATAATTTAAAAATGAATACCTCACATTTATTAGGATCCTTTACAATGGCTACAGTTTTTATACATCTTTAATCTATGCTACATGATTTATTCTTAGTAGTATTATCTTGGATTTCATCAATAATCCTGAAATCTTTTTTAATTTATTTTGAATTCTCCAGACTTCACTAAGTTCCATGAGCTCTTGTCATCTACAGCTGTGAAAGATTGCAGTTTAGTTCCCTGCCAGTTTTATCAAGTTTACGACATTCAGTTCATTGCATATGTCTGACCAATGACGGCTAAATAATTGGTCTGACAAATGCGACAGGTTTTCGAAAAGGAGAAGAAGAAGAAGAGATCTGAATAATTTGCCTGTGTGCGCCCTCTCTAGAATTCCACATCTAACTTAGCAAGAAAAATCGTTCTCACATATTTTTCTCCTCCAAAAGTGAAACGCCAGAATGGCTTCTCTGTATGGTAGAATTGTAGCTTCTTCTGCGAGAAGACATGTTCTATCTACCAGCTATAGATTCGCTTCAACAAAAGGTGAGAAAAATCAAATAATATTACTTCTCAAGAACGTTTGCCCTTCCCAAAATATCCATCAAATTTGACATTACGTAATTTGGGAAAACGGTCATGAAACCATGATTATCGAAGCAATACAAGTTTTCCTCGATACGTTCCTCTCATGCAACGAATAAAATACGCAGATAGTGGTGAATCTCTTGAAAATAACACTTGTGAAACCTAACCTCACTTTTTGTTCTAGTAACTTTGGCGGATCCCCTTGAGCATGCAACTGGTCTAGAGAAGCGCGAGTTGCTTGCCAAAGTAGCTGGAAATGATAATCCCTTCGACGCCAAAGTGATCAAGCGAGGCGCGGGCACCAGGGCTGCTCCCAATGAGATCCCATCAGCTTTTGATGCTCGCCTGGTAGGTTGTGTCTGTGAAGAAGAATCCACTAGTATTACCTGGATGTGGCTGCACAAGGGAGAGCCCAAGAGGTGCGAATGTGGACACTGGTTCAACCTAGTTCACAAAGCTCCAGTATAAATGTAATCCCATTGTGCTCTAGATTTTAATAGTGCTTAAAATAAATTCATTTCCTTCTTAATTGTTCTTCTTTCATTGTAAATATTTTTTTCCGTCAATAAAATTCTTGTTATAATTTCTATAACTAACTATTGAAATTTGGTCCTGTACTTGCCATTAAGTTTAATTAGTGATAAAAGATTTGTAGAATTCATTTCATAGTTCATCTGAATAACAAAATTGTTACAACACCTATTCACATTACATGTTTGAATTCAGGGAAGAAGAAATTGTTTTTTTCATCATTCACTTTATTGAAAACAATTCCCAATTAGAAACAGTGTAAAAAACATTGTTGCACTAAGAACTAATAAATATTTAATATTATCTTTATCACCAATACAAAAGGATTTAAAAGTCAATGAAACTGGAAAAAATCATTTTATGATGTAAACTATTTCAGAAGTTTCTATATAATATCTTAATAAGTTTATGGAAAATGTTTTGAAATCAGGTCATACTAGAAAAGTAACAGAAACTAGAGAATCTCATTATGATACTTAGTTTTGATATTTTCTCTGTAATTCATATATTCCATAAATTCATGTCATATAGAGGTCTTCTAGTCAATTCACAGGTACACACACCTATTTGTCTTCAGTTTCTTCCATACACAATAGAATTCTAAAACTTTCAAGTAGCAAATTAATCTTTTAATTCAAGCCTTAATAATGCCCAATTGAAAATCATTTGCATGTCTTTAAAATTTGGCCTCAATAATACAACATATTTCCAGATTTCCTATTCAGCTATGTCAGCTTTAACTTCAGTTATATCAGTCTCTGATTTCCCCACTTCCTTCTCTGCTTTATCACATGAATCTTCCCTTGGCAAATAGTCCTCCAGATCAACATTTTCGAAAATCTGGTTCTCCCCGAAACTAACCCTCTTTGTGTGTGTCTTGGGGAATACTCTTGGGACGGGCGGCTCTTCAGCTTCTGCCACAGGCTTCTGACTGCTCAAAATAGGCCTGTTTTTGCTGATGACTAGGTAATTCAAGGGCACCAGGCCTGACTTGCTCTTGCAGACGGCGAACGCCCATCCCGAATTCTTCAGGTTCATTTCTTCTTGAATGGACGTGGGGGCCAACAGAACTAGATCGTTGGCCTGGATGTTGAGCTCGTTGGGTGCGGTGGCGATGAAGTCAAACACAGCTTTGGCACGGATTCCTGGGGATTTCCAGTTTGCAGGATCTCCTTTATCTGAATAGAAAAAGTGAATTGAAAAGTTTAATTAATCCTTCATGTATAAGAATTTCATTCACTAGACACTTTTTATACACTCCCAAATGAAGATTGACATATCGTCGGTGATTTGGCAAAAGTAGGTCTCCCAAAAAAAATATTCCAGTTTGAGATTCTGGTCTTATTTTTTGACATGTGAATGTAAAAACAGGTATCTGTATAGAATCCAATGGTGATCGTGATCTCTGATGCCTTCTGACTATATTAGCATTTGTAAATCAGCTCAACAGATTGAACTTTTAGGATTATAACTTGAGTCATGACTACTTTTTTAACTTCTCAGCCAGCCATTCACTACTACAATACGATTCAACCTCTGGAATAAGGAGATTAGATCCATCAGTGATAGCTGATATCCGTTGCCTCAAATATATGAGAACACGGACATAAAAGTTTCAAACTTAATCATACTGATGAATATAAGTTACCTACCTATTACTCAACAAATTCAGAATGAATTCATTTCCTTCGTATTAATACGAAGGAAATCACGAAAACTGTACAAGGGGAAACTGAAAATAAAGAAAGAAAAGTGGAATAATCTGCAGGCCCTTATTTAAGTCTTTTGTACCACAGGCACTCCTTCTATGATTCATTGCAATATCAGAATTAATAATTATTATCTATAATTTTCCATTTATGTGTACTTCATGAGGGGATTATCATTTTCATTATTATCTTTCTGGAAATCTATTGTATTTCCAAAAATACATGAAAATATGTAAACGAAAGTGTTTTCCTTGGGCCACCCCTAACGATGTCATTTTAAAACCATTTTCAATTATGGATTTTGAGAGCTTTCAACTCCAAAAATAAAGGGTGTATCGTGTATCGCACTTATTATTCAGAAAATTCATATTAATGGCATTTTCTATAAGAACTCATATGTAGGAGAGAGACAGAGAATGGATTTTAAATAGGCCTTTTCATTTATATGACAAATGACTATCTCTGTTTACATCTCGCATCCAACGACAGTGGCGGCCATTTTCACCGAAACACTTACACCATAGTACCACACGCCTCAGTACGAGTAAGTACGTTTTTTGTAATTAAATTATTATAATACAATTAATACACACCAGGAATATAAAAACAAAAATACTATGTTGTTATTGTTGTTTCTCAATGACGAAAGACGAATGCCCATGGTGGTTGACACTGTTGACATTAGACAGAACGTCAATAATATTCGAAATGGCCAATCAGCAATTTGTGTTGGAACTATAGCCAATGAGACTTCACCTTCGCATCACCCAATAAATTTTCGGATCTAAAAACGAGCGCATGCGTCTGAAAAATATATCTAGATGAAAAAGTCTATTCGATTAAAAACAACACCTTTTTCAAACAAGTACAACACACACCGTTGATTTTAGGAGATTGAAAGCTCCCAAAATCCATAATACAAAATCCAGATCAGTATTTAATATTTCATAGTTAGATTCAGGGGTGGCCCAGGGAAAACAACTGTCTGTAGAACGCTTTGGTTTACATATTTTTTTATAGCCGATTGAAAGTTACAATGACAAAATGCCAACAGCAGATATAAGTGAGAAACAAAAATCAATATTTTCGTTTTTTCCTGTATATCTCTGAAACTGAGAGGTATAGCTCAGATTTTTTTGCCTCCGTCGATAATACCAGGAATACATTGAACAATTATTGTTATTGTATTTAAAAAATATAAAAGTGAAGAATTCTAAAAACTTTGGAGTGTTGTTAGTAAGTTTTTTTTTTATTGTTGTTTTGGGCACATCATATTTTCAATCCATGTTATTAAAAACATGAATAGTGAAATAAATAAATAGTAGGTATACCTACAGATAAAACAAAAATACTGAAAAAATATGATAGTTGAAAGACATTGTAACTATGACATAACTTCTGAAATATTGCCCACACATATCGCTGCCTCTACAGAATAGTGACACATTTCAAAATTGTTCTTTTTTCAGGAGAGGATTTTTAAGATTTCAAATTCATTAAAATTGTGATATCTCCTATGGATAATCGATTATCTGATTGAAATTTTCAAACTTCATTGTTACAATATGGTCTTCCTAGTCCAGTATCTTGGTTTCTTTCGATGTCTATCAAAAAAGATTGTTTTTGAGAAAAAATCAAAAATGTGTCACTGTTTTGAAGAGACATTGAAGAATTTTGTTTTTATTTCCTGCAAAATATTGAACATTTTCGAATGAAATGCTGAAGAAGTCGTGCAAAAATAACTTTATTTATTGACATCGAAACAAAGGAACAATTATATTAAGAATTAAACAGCAACACAAACGAAAACTTCGGATCCGATATAAACCAGACATGATAGTTTGATTTCTTAAAGACTATTATAAAATCCCTCGTAAAATTTGGGTATTATATTTTTTTTAATTAAATCCATCAGGCCTTTCTTCTTCTTTTCAGAAATGGGGAGGTTTCGTTTATACATTTGCTTGAGAGAACCGGCAGTTCGATTGGAATTCGTGTTTTTCTTGCTTGATCTCCTATTATTCTTTTCGACTTCAACTTTCTTGAATTCTGGATCACTGTAGGAGTTTTTGTAGAAAAATACAGCAGGATGTTCCTTCTCTACTCTAACTATTTTCGCATTAGATAATTTGAATGTCTCATTGTCCGTATTCTTAGAGTAATTATTTCCAATTTCGGGGGCGAGGCTTTTTATGTCGTAGAAGGAATCATGGGCAAATTCGTGGACTTTATAAGGAATTCTATTCTCTTTGGTGCCTCGGATCAAATTCACGTATTGGTCTGGTGTGTAAATAGGACCAGATTTCAGTGACCGTTTGATCTTCCTCTCTATGACGGAGTGGACGCTATCTCCCTCATTTTGTGTGTGGCCTTTGATTAGGAACTTATGCGTTATTGAATTAAGGAATTGGAATTTTGAAACTGCATACAAATACAACGCTATCATGAAATGGTTTTTTTGTTGCCCGCAACAATTATCTGAGAAGAATATGACATCTAACATTCTTCCTGAACTCGCATTTTGATTCAAAATCTCGAGATAATTATAGATACATGAACCAATTTCATTCACACCACGGTTTCCTTCGCCTTCGTGCCATACAAAACAGTGAACCTCTTTATTTTTCAAGTTGTAAATTGTGAAATTCAGGGTATTTATTTTGGAGACGTAATAAAAATTGGATACGTCTCCTCTCGGGCAAGGTAGGGTTCCCTGCAAGTCATAAACTGCTACAATGCAAGAAGGATCATCATTGTTCTTATCCTTTTCTTTTTCCAGTCGAGACATCGTTTTTTCCTTGAGATGATCATCATAACTTGATTTCAGCTGCTGTTTAGTCTCCAAATCTGCGTTAAGATAAGAAGTGCAATCTTCGCATTGATCCTTCTTAGGAGTGAAGAAAGCTATATTGAATTCTGTACAAAATATTCTATGGTACATGACATAGTTTCCGTAGGGTACGTTTTTCCTAATACAATCATTGACGTAGTCTCTATGTAACTCGGCTACAGATTTTCCCCCATCAATGAAGGCTCTCGTTGTGTCTGCTCTACAGTAATGGCTCTCGATTCTTGGTATGGAATCGATATGATAGCGAATTCCATCTTTGATGGTGTTGTCAAGTTTCTTATGATTTCCATGCTTGCCTCGATGATCTAGAGAAACAAAACCCCCAATAGGGTTACTTCTTTTGGAGAGAACGGTCCTAATTGGGCGATCATTTATTCCCAAAGTTGATCGGAAAAATGGCTTGCATACACGAATTTTCTTATAGTCTACAACGAAATAGAAGGCGTTTTTACCAGCACTCCAGCACAATGACTATCAGGTTTTCTGTATGTATATTTTGGTTCAATTGCTATAATGTTAGATGATAAAAATTCTCGTTGTCTTTGTAAATCGCCGAGTTGCCAATAAGTCAAAAAAATGTTGTGGCGCTGCTCTTCTGTAACTTTTGCATAACACTTATGCTTGCATCGATCGGTACATGGGGGACCTATTTTCTTCTCGGGAACTAATATTTTGTTCCTCTTGGAATTGGAGATATACGATTTTCCGGCATTTCTCAAACGTTTAGCAGTCTCCTTTATTGATCCTGAAGGGTTTGCTTTCCTTTTCCGCCCTAGTTTCTGTCACAATATTTGAATTGCTTTCATCTTCTCTCACTTCTACATCTACATCTCTTTCTTCATCTCTTTCTGCACCTCTTTCTCCATCTCTTTCTGCACCTCTTTCTTCATCTCTTTCTGCACCTCTTTCTTCATCTTCTTCTGCACCTCTTTCTTCATCTCTTTCTGCACCACTTTCTTCATCTCTTTCGGAATATCTTTCTCTATCTCTTTCTTCATCTCTTTCGGAATGTCTTTCTCTATCTCTTTCATCTTCTATTTCTTCTTCAGACGAAGACTCAGAAGAAGAAGATGAGTTTGTAGAACTAGCCGACGAACTAGAAGATGAAGTATTATCTCTTTTATACATAGGATCTTTCACACTGTCATCCGAAGAAAAATCCTGGAATGATCCATCACTTTCCTCTTGCACATTCATGTTGGATTCATCCATAACTGAAATCGAACAGTACTTTAGGAGATTTTCAAGTATATTGGTAGTACAAAAATATAATTATTTATTTGGAGCTCCCATTACCTTGCAATACATCAGAACTTATACCACAACCATCATTGGTTTCACTATTGTTATCAAGTTCTGTAACCACCGTATGTTCAGGCTTTTCTTGTGGTATTCCTAAAAATTAAGGAAACCGGTTATGTCAACTAAAAACATGCGGAGAAATTTATTTTATTTATTCTAATATATCTGATACCTTTTGAAAATATAGCACTACTATTGCTATTGTCTACTACTGGTGGTGTGTCTACTAATGGTGGTGGGTGAAATATGCCTTCATAGTTTTGGGGATGGTTTTCTTTTTCCGACAGAAAATCTATAAATTTGAAATACTAGTAATTATTGATGTTGAACATTTGAGATAAGAAAGTCAATGGCATCCAAGACATACAATGTTCATTTGATAAAACCCATATTCATCGATTCGATATCATTTGGTTTATAATTTTTGTCTCTCACCGATATTTTTTCGCAGCTCCACTTTTCCTTTTGCTTCTGTCATAGCTTGCTTCAACAATAGCTTGAACTTGGATCTGGGGTTTTCCATGATATTTAAAGCTGTAATATCACAATTCAAAAATTCTATGGAAACTGAATACAAAATCCAGCATGAAAATTAGATATCAAATTCACGCTATAAGAATCTAGGAAAGATTTTTTGATAACACGTCATTTGAAAACTTTGTAAAGACTAATCAATGCAAATGCATCTATGCAAAATGTGATAGGAAGTCGATATAATCATAGTAAAAATTCTTGAATATAAAAAAAAACATTATTTGCGTTACATTGAAAAATGATGAGATATTATTTATTACGAGAATATGAGGGATATTTCATTTACATTACCCGTCATGGTTAAAGCTGATAATCCCATTTCACTGTGATTAACCGTGACGTCATTTCCGTTTGGGTACACCTCCCCTACCTGCCTTTGGGTTTACCAACTCCCATGTTGGTGAAGGTGGTTAATGTTGAAGTTGAAAATTTGTTTACGAAGTGAAAGATGGAGGATATTATGGAAACACTCAAATTGCAAATAAATAGTGTATGTCGAGGATCCCGTTCATCATGAGCAAATGTACAAAGATTGCGAAATGGTAGGGTATAGGGGTTAGGAAAGTGAAAATTTATTTAGGTAAGTTCACTCCAACTAACCCTCCTCATCCGAAACATGCGATAGCAATTTGATTCTAGGTAATAATCTATCCAGGTTTCAAAGAAATTACGATTCCTGAAATGATGACATATCTGATACCTCCTAGAGCAGTATTTGTGGCAATACTCCGATGATCCGATCTCATTTATCAAATGAAGTAAACTTTCTCCTAACAGAGCAGAGATCAAATCATCCATTGTGAATAACATGGTTGCGCGCAATTTATTTTTTTATTGTTTATTTTTATAGACATGATCAATTAGGTTTGCACAATAACAATAAAACATAGATAAACAACACATATTTTTTCTCTCGGATTCAAAATGAAAAAACCTGAGGTTATCACTGAGTAAACTGGGTAAAGTGAAAGAAATAGGAATTAAAAAATGGTTAATGTTGACGTCATTATGACGTAGTTGCCTCCCACCACTTAGACCAATATACTATAACCGGGTTTAACGGGTAATGTGGATGAAATATCCCTATAGTCTTATTTCGAAATATATCCCTGAAAATGTAGAGAAGAATGACACGTAGCATAAGAGTCACTATCGCAATTAATTTTTGGACTGAAAAGTTGGAATAATCTCTGGAAGGATGACATATTTTGAAAAGAGACGTTATTCTGTGTGAAATATAATGAATCGATACTTACTATGATAAGAAGAACGACACGATACAAAATATGTCGATATTTCCTAGAACATTGTTTTGAAATTGCTGTTATGTTTTGAAATATGTCGTTATTCTCTAGAAGTTACACACTCACTCGCCGGCAAGAACAAAACTACTGGAAATAGGACGTTATTTCCCATAAAAAGGTCGGAATTTGATGAGTAAAGAATAATGACACTTGCGCCATCTCTCGTAGATAATTTGAAATATGCGTATAGGTCATTTTTTCCGATAAACTAGATACAGTTTTGAGTCGAAATCTACATCTAACTCAAAACAGCCACTCTTTGAAATGTGTCACTATTCTTTAGAGGCAGCGATATGATGATACCTATTTCATCATATTATGCATCATATTTCATGAATTATGTAATGTTTATTGATTTTCTTACTTGAAAATTGGAGATTATTATAATCGGTTCGTTTACATCACTATCTATTCAAAATTAATAATAAGATATAATTCATTACAGAGGCGTCGATGATGTTTTTTCGTAGGGTGGGGAGAGGTATAATGGCTTTTTGATTTAGGTAATGGAAAAAATCAGGCTATAAAGATCCATAAATAATATATGTATAGGAAATTATAAACAAAACTAAGTCCAAGAGCCGACTGCAAATTTCGACCGTCGTCTGATACCAAAATGATATACCGGGTGTCCCAATGTTATCGTATACAGGCAATTACTCGCTTATTTGACAAGATAATTGCGAAATTTGAAAACTGCATTGAACCATTGAACGGCATTGAAGTACGACCTTCCTCAAGACATATAAACAAATCTATTACATTTGACAGTTCTCTGGCAGCTATCCCCCACTTTTTATTTTCAAATGGCACCCCCTGTATATTGTCATTGAAAATTGTGTGCCATTCTATACTTGGAATTTCTTTATTGTTATGAAAAAAAAAAGAAACATTCAATGAAGTATGAATTTCAACTAAAATAGCTTTTATGCGAATCAAAAAATGAACTAAAAATCACAGCAAGAGTTCAAAATTATTATGACATAAGCATCGGCTTCTTGAAACAAAAAACATGAGCGGAGGCAATATTTTTTTATAAGGATAATAATTGAGTAACTTGAAACCAGTCACAAAATGTTGTTATTGTTATCAATAAAAAAATACCTAGTATAGGCTATCGTTGTATTCCAATTTGAGTGACACGTAATTTACAATGAAAACATACAGGGGATGCCATTTGAAAATAAAATGTGCTGGGAGGTAGCTGCCAGACAACTGTCCAATATAATTAATTTTTTTCATATGTCCTCAGGAAGGTACTTCAATGCCATTCAATGAAGTTTTTGAATTTTTCAACTATCTTGTCAAATAAGCGAGATATTGCCTATATACGATAACTTGGGACACCCGGTATGTCCCAAAGGCATGTAAAACGATTGTAGTTTATCGAACGGCACCTGTGCCAATCACCTCCTGAGCAAAATAATTGAAAAATTGCGATTGAAACAAGAGGCAAATAAAAGTGGATGATGTCGCCCCCCTCTAAAGATAATATCCGATGAACCGGAGTAAAACTCAATATGTGGATCAGAATACTTGTAGTAAGGCTTGTAGTGTGAGCACCACATAAGTTGCACATAAGTTTCACACTGGTCCATCGGATATTATCATTCAGGAAATTCGAAAACAGGAAGATTTAATATTATTAAGTATTTACATAATATGTAAGTGTAAAAACAACTAATCATCCAACTTAAATATTCATTCAACCACACATTATAAACATGAACCAATTGATTTCAAAATTTAATATTTTCATTTCAAGAGTATGAATAAAAAAAAATCAAGATCTATTTCAAACATTCAGATTTTTTTGATTTATGAACAAAAAATCGTGATTGTTTGAAACTTTGGGAGGCGAAAATTGATCAATTGAACTGACCTTCATATTTAGGCAGAAACCTGCTGATGATGTAAGGCGCTGACATCAGCACTCCTAGAAAAGCAATGGTAGGCCAGCTGGAGCCTTTCCCTGGTCCTGGTCCAGGGGGTCCCACTGCTCCATTTTTCGCCTGCTTCCAAGCCACAGAAGTTGTGCTATTAGACACCTTGTAGCCAACCAACCTCATCAGTTTCCTATACAACCAACTGAGAAACCTGAAAATGTTGACGGAGTACCAGATTTGGCCAAACATCGATCGCAACCGCCCGAAATTCTCTGCCACGCTCAAAACAGCCCTGAAGCTGGAGGTCATCGCGAAAAAAGTGTTGTCCAGCATCATAGCTATGCTGTTGAACGCTCGCACGATGTTTTCAACGCTGGCAAAAGTGTTTCTCGAACTTTCCTCAGCATACTGGATGAAACGTCTTTCATGATCGTCAGCTGCATAGTTTGGGTAGCCTCCAAATGATCCATAGTTGTTGTATGAGGAGCCATAGCTGGTATATGGGGTGCTGCGGTATGGTGTGCCATAGGAGTTGAAAGAATTGTAGGAATTGTAGCCACCATAACCTATGCAAATTCCAAACTTAAGGGTTTCATGGAAAATTTACCCAATATGAATCATTAGGGAATCTTCAAGTAAAGAGGGGCATGGAATATTCAATTATATCTTTCTACTTTTACTGGTCATTGGATAATTCTAGGCCAGACAAAATTCGGACAGCGGGAATTTCGAAAATTCGAATCAGTTTTTTTAATTCAAAAAATATAATCTTCCTACATATGAATTCAAAGGTGAATAGCGAATATCACTATAGTAGGTACAATGTTTGGATGGTTTGGGTAAGGGTACCTATACATATTTATTTTTTGCCCTAAACAGAATAAAAACTCTAAAATATTTTTACAACAAAAAATTAATTCTCAAACAACAGTTTGAAACGAAACTAAGTCATATATGTAATAGGCATCTATCAAATCTTTAAATAATATTCAATTTTTGAGCAAACTTTCAATGACATGATGGTAGTTTATGTAGTGGTGGAACCCTTAGATGTGGAACCTGACGAAAATCCGGACAATTTTTCAAAACACGCCCGCTAAATCCCGGGCATGTCCAGGGAAATCCATAGGGATGGCTACCCTGATAATTCAGAACAATTTACATTGACAAATATTACAGTTTAGAGGTACCTAAGGTACCTGGGAAACTACCAAGCCTTAACCATTGGAATTGGTATGAAATTGTTCTTATAAGACTGCTGTTAAAAGAGTCAATTATCAAAAATCAAAATTGACATGATTTCATATACATTCAAATAAAATAACATGAGTTGAATAGGTACACTAAATCATTGATTAAACTTTTTGAAAATGGGCAGACAATTTTGATTGAATATGCCAAGTAATAGTGGATGAAAATAAAGACTGAAATCCTAGATTCTATAATATGAGTATAGTTGATTATACTATCTGAAATTTTATCAAACTATAGGTGAACACTTGAAATAATGAGCTATGTTATGTTCAAGTATTTTGTTATCAATAGAACATACCAGAATAGGGCATATTATAAGAATTGAAGTTGTTATATCCATTTGCCAGGGTGGAATTCGAAGGCCTAGGGGGCAACACAGGTGCACTTCTAGCCCCTCCAAACATAGGAAGATTTAAATTCGCATTTTTAACAAAATGACTGGAATTATGCAGATTGTTTTCTTCGAAAGGTTTCGATAGTGACATTATCAAAGGAATTCTATAATCGCAACCTAAACTTTCACATTACAATAAATTCACAAGTATTCAAAGCAGGAGGTGTTTGGTTTCATCTTATCGCACATTGACTGACAGGTCTACTCGGGATTTTTACTACCGAATTGCAAAACTTGAATAATTAAAAAGTAATTAATTATATACTAAAATGACCCATGAACTCATTTTTGATAAAAGTGAAGGTTGGATATTAGACATATTATTATTTATTTATGTGCAAAAACAATCAGTGACAATTTCCCTGACGTTTCGTCTTTTTTAAATATTTATCCACTGACTGACATAGATACTATGTAGCTTTGGATACCTTGCAAAGTTCTTTTTTACTTCTTGATTAAAATCTTCTTCTTATACTTCCGTACAGAAGCTGTGCTATCAAATGAACTAATATTGAAAAGGAATATTCTCAGATAAATCGCAGATTCGTGATAGAGTCTCAATTCAGAATTCATTTCCACGCCCTGTATGATGAATGTCAATTTATCATACACCCAAAAGCAAGAACTAATATTCTTCTTGATTCTACTCATATGACAAATGACGTTTCAAATACATCTGAAATATTGAAAAAACCGTTACAAAACGTTTGGTGTTTGAAAAATGGTGTGAAAGTTCGAAAGTTCTGTAATGAAAACAATCGTTATAAAATTTAGTGAAAATCTGATTCATCAAAATGAGCCTTAGAATCATTTTGCTTTTAAACATTCGATTGTAAATCTATAATATGTGTGATACTCCGTTCAAAACCCCTCGGTTGCCGCGTCAGGCTCCAAAATCAACGAACTCTGATAGTGAAGAAAGTACCACATCAGATTCAGCATCCACCAGATCGAGCGTAGACCTCACCATTGTTGCTTTATACGACGATTTCAAGCGCCTAATAGACCAGAAACTAGAAGACAATGAACGTTTACGGGAAAGCTTCCACAACTTTGCAGAAGAAACAAAACTTATGTATCTACAATGGAAACAAGCACTCGCAGAGTGTCACAGGCTTGGAGCCATCCTGGAAGAGAAAATAGTTGAAAATAGTGATATGAAGAAAAGTTTATATGTTGCAAGAACAATGATGGATGAAGAAAAAAAGAAACGAAGATGTATCCAAGCTGAGCGAGATAATTTTCAGGTACAGATAGCCAGGTTCTGCAATGAACTTGTCAAAGACCACAGAAATAAACTAGCAGATGAAACTAAGGAGCAGATGAGGCACCTGAATTCAGGTAGAATGAGTTTCTGTGACCCGGACAGGTTAACTGCAATCAAAGAAATCAACTCTACAGGATCTGTCCTATCAGACTTCAGCTTTTCACGGTCAGAAGATGATTTAGATTCCTCAATATGCACTGGTAAAAAATCTGTTAGAGAATGGACTAAACGCCAGCCTGTGCCAGATAAAAATGTTGAGCCTGCTACAAAGAAAAGAAGGTCATCTACCAACAAAGTCATTGAAATTGGCACTTCAGAGACTGTTAGAGCTACTACTACCTTGATGGTGACCAAAGATGGGCCAATTACTGCTACTTCAGTTATTGAATCTGTACCTATGACTGAAAATGAAGGCGCAATTGCTCCATCAGAATTAGTGTTTGAATCTTGGAATCGTGAAGGTATGAATTAAAACTTGGTTTACTACTGTTTGTGATTGTTTTAACTAACTCAATTTATTCTTGTGCCTACACAAACTGTGAACTTATTAAATTGTCTTTTCAGGGGCAAAATTCTTCACTCCAACAACTGAAAAACAATCCAACTTGAGGCAGCATTTCTACCAGCAAAAAACAGTAGTTATGCCAGAATCCTGCCAAGCTTGTGAGAAAAAGATTGGTTTCAGCCGTACTGCTCTGAAATGTCGTGAATGCAAGGCACTATGCCATCTTGATTGCAGGAACTTGATGCCTCTACCTTGTGTGCCTATCATGAATACTCCTGGTTCTAAGAAATTCACTGGGACTATAGCTGATTATACTCCTACAAGTCCACCATTGGTGCCTTCTCTAATTGTACACTGTGTCAATGAGATTGAACAGAGAGGGCTTGAGGAATTGGGAGTGTACAGAGTGCCAGGCTCAGAAAAAGATGTTAAAGGTAACTTAAAACATATAATGCAAAAAAAAGGTGAAACCTGAAATTGATTTCTTTTTTTTTTTTCTATAAATATTGTTATTTACTTTCCTGATTATAATGGTACTTTGAATTAAGGTTTTCCCAGCAAAAAGAAAGCAAAGTATTCATACATTATACATTATTGGTAAGAGTGAGGCTTTAAGTAATCAATTTTGGATCTTTTTTCTTGTTATTTTATGACTCATTTGGTAATTTTCATCTGTCAATGATTTCTTTATGAAATCCTAATTTTTGCCATTATTCTTTTATTACATGTGCTATTAGAAAAAATCTATTTTCATGTACTCTATGCTGCCCTCAAAATTAATTCAGTTCATTGTCCCATGGTTTTATATTTAATCACATATAGGAACAACATGAGCCAGTTATGAAATTTAGTTTGTATAATTGATTACATTTTCAGATGAATTAATAGTACATTATACACCCAGGGCCTCAAGTGGTATTTTAAATCCCCAGATAAAAGTTTATAGCCCCACCAACAGGAGGACTATAATTTGTCAAGGGATTCAAAAACAATTCAATCCTGAGGTGTATATACTATTTTATGTACTTTGCAGTAGCCAAGGTCATCATCTGACATTGTGATGACTTGAAAACTTGGCTTAGATGGACAGTTATACATGTTTTCCTTTAGTTTTCATGTTATCACATTTCTTAAACGTCAGGGCTGATTGTATGTTACCATATCAATGACATCAGTAACTATGGTGATCCAGATTACAGTGAAAGAAGTGGTACTTTGAATCCCTAGGGATTTACACCATTACTTTTGTGCATAAAAAATATTAATTTAGTTTTATGTATCTTAGTTGCCTTCATGAATTCTGAATTTTTTAAAAAAATTTTAGCACTTTGTAACTCTGAAACCATGGTAGATATCATTATGTGATTTTCATCATTCACTAAAGATTTCATCTATCTACTTCAAAAATAGGACTCTACCCTTAAAAGGAAAATTTGATTGAAAATAACCTGAAGAAATCAAAACCAACCAATTCCTCAACTTTGGTTTCTTAAATACTAAAAGGTTTCACTGGAGAAAAAATAGTTGTCCATGGAGGTCCTTTGAACAATAGGTGAATGGAATATTTTTTTTTATTTCTTGAATAGAATCATCACTCAACTTCCAATTTCATATATTTCTAGAATTTTTTGGTCAATTTTTAGATGCTAAAATCATCAATAATGCCACAGTAATTTTCAAAGGGATAGAAATTCACATAACAATTTCCTAAGTAGGGGCAGATCATAGCACAGTTGCCATTTGTTGAAATATGATTGAGAACTTCAGAAACATTAGTTGTTCAACAATTCATAAATTCTCAATTATGTATTGGTAATATTCCTATTTAGCAATAGAAAATCTTATGCTTATGCTTATAACAAATTTGTGTAAATAGTAATTATATTAATTCACACCAGAGGACATTTGAAGCGGTAAACGTGACAACACGCCGCACGAATTGTGGGCGTGGTTTTGTCGGTTCTCAGCATTCAGCACAATGTTGCCAAGTCTTCAACATTTACATGATATATTTGGACATGCTGGTTGCTAGAAAAAGTCAAGAATGAACTATAATATCATGGGTTCCTCCTATTATGTTTTATTTGAGGACAGGACTCTTACATCTTTTCCATAACTTGATTATAATTGGTGACTTGACAACCTTGCTTTGTGAGTGGGAATGGAAGATTATCTAACCAATCAGGAAACAGTATGAAAACCATGTAACGCCAAATGGCGGCCGTGACGGTGAGTTTGAAATGAGCTCTGAAATTCAACAATTTTGAACAAGGCATAGACTTATTATTTACATAAAAAAAAAGCGTGGGAAGTGTTGCAGTAATTGAATTATCAGTCAACTTGCCCATTCTCAATTTTTGAAAAAATTGTCAGCAGCTTGTAACTGAAACAATGACAGATATCATTATGTGATTTTCATCATTCACCACAGATTTCATCTATTTAGTTCAAAAATAGGACTCCTCCTTTAAAAAGGGAAATTTGATTGAAAAGAGCCTGAAAAAATCAAAACCAACCAATTCTTCAACTTGGTTTAAGGAAGTTTTTCAACTTTTTCTTGAATATCATTATTGGAGAATTATTTATATGGGAAGGAAGCTCATTATACAAAATAACACCCTTGACAAATATTGAGTCTTGACCAGAGGTTGTAGAGAACCTCATGATTCCAAACATGGCCGTATCATTCCAAATCATTGTTATGTCTCGTATTATGGTGATGAATATCATTTCTCCTGATGAAAGTTAGGTTAGACAGCCTCTTAGAATTAATGATTTGGCATATATAGATACATACTTGGTATTTGGAAATAGCATTTACGGGCATAATGTTATAATTTTTATAGAGATCATTTGTGTGATATCTTCTATGCAATCCATAAATATTTTTTATTGCTTATTTTGTAAGATCTCAATTGGCTTTATCACTTTTTTAAAGGAAGGGTACCATAGTAGAGTAAGATGTTGTATGTGACAATGTTTCAATGAATAGTAAATTCCTCTTAAAGGATGTTTTAGTATACAAGTATGCATCTTCCATAATGTACCTATTGGAGCTGCCATCTTAGATCTCAGTCTGTCTAAATGGGTTTCCAGGACAAAGTTTCATCAATGTAAATACCAAGGTACTCAATAACTCGAGAGTATTGCAAGGTTGTTTTCCCATAATGTATGTTCACTAGGACATGGGGGGTACATATCCAGATTTATTTACATTTAGTGTTAACTTTTGAGTGACCAACCAGATAGAAATTTTTGCATGTCTTCCACAGTACCTATTGAGTTTCATTTCATCATAAGAGTTGCTAAAGTATAATATCATGGTATCATCTGCATATAATTTTGTTTCACCTTTCAGATTTGATTTTGATATTGAGTTGACAACAACAAGAAATAAGGTTGACCCTAAAATAGACCCTTGGGGCACGCCACATTTGATTTATCTTTTTGTACTTGAAAATTTCCCATTGAGACAAACTGCATTCAAGGATCTACCTTCGAACTACTCTAGTGCCCTTAGTAATCATTTTCGGACGCATGTTGGTAGGAACATTTTTTTCTTATTTTCATGTGCACAATTACCTCCCGGAGTATACGAACG